GCCGGAAGTGGTGCTGTGGCCCAAGTGGTAGAGCACTAGCCTTGTGCTGAAGAGCTGAGGGACAGCGCCCAGGCCCAGAGTTCAGGCCCCACGACTGGACCCCAAAAAAAAAAAAAAAAGAATCTCACTGGGTGCTACTGGTTCATGATTGTAATCCTAGTTACTCAGGAGGCTGAGATTTGAGGATCAAGGTATGAAGCTAGCCAGGGCAGGAAAGTTTGAAAGACTCTTACCTACAATTAACTACAAAAAGCCAAAAGTGGAGCTGTATGCCCACTATGCAGGCCTAATCTCTGCCCTTGATGGCAGCACCTGAGCAGTAGGTGAGGCACCTCCCACGTCTGGCCTCCAATATAAAAGGGGCCTCCAAAGAGCTAGACGGCACCATTTTCTCCCTTTCCTCATGAGAACTTGGCCTTATCAGCTCTGCTGGCAATAAATCTTTTCTACTACTTAACTCATGTCCACATGGTCTTTTGGGTTACTTTCTTTGGGTTACTTCCTACCCAGGTTTACATTTTCTCCTTCATTTTGGTGGACTATAGGCTGATAGATAGGCTCCCTGGTGGATTCACTCTCCCCACTGACTGGGAGGGCCCTGCCTGCGACCCCGGGACCTAACCCACAATTCTAGGCAGACCCAAAAGACCGCCAAGCTGGTTTCCTTCTGACCAAACACCTCCTACACATCTGCCAGCAGCTGATCACGTCCTACCTGCCATGTAAATCAAACCTAGAGGCTTAGATTTCACTGTGCAAGCTCTATACCTCTCTCAGGGAGCTTTGGGGCTCCCACCCCTGAAAAACTTGGCCAAGTATCTAAGCCACATTTCTGAGGGCCTCTGTGGCTGAGGGATGGTGTGGAGAAATGTGACATTTCCCACTGGTTGTTTCCCACTTTTAGGACAAATTGCATTGCATAGGACACTTTACAACAGCTTTTGGTTCCAAATCACTTACCATGGGTGGGACACAATATTCCTGACATTCCTCAGGACTCCCCCTTGGGTTTTCTCCTAAATAATCTAGAAATGCTTAACACTGAACCTGACATTGATTCACAGGAGCTCATATACTTCTGTAGTGAGATCTGGCCCGAATATCCACTGGATGATCAGCCCACATGGCCCATTCATCACACTTGATTCTGATATTATACAGAATCTATCTAACTTCTGCAGGTGGTCAGGCAAGTTAAAGGAGGCTAGCTACATAGATGCCTTCTCTTTGTTCCTCTCCTTCCCCCAAACTAAACTTCTTCCTGAGTCCTTATGTTCTCCTGCCCAACTCCTCCTGGCCTCAGGGCTACAGACTTATAACCCAGACTATTCCAGATCTGGTGGATGAGTTGCTGCCATTTCAAACATGTGGGGAACAGCCCCTCCTGGTGTGCCAGAGGAGGTAGGACTTCCTCCAACGGGGTTGGGACTTCTGCCAGGGAGGCGGGACTTTCAGAGGTAGGGTTTCTGTCAGAGGTGGCAGCCCCATCCACCACCATACGGGTTCCCCCACCCTCTGCTCCTGCACCATCCAAGGCCAAGGCCCCCTCCCATAGGCACCCCCTTTTTCCCCCACAGGACAAAAGCACATCTGGCCTGACCACTATGAACCAGCTGTCTCAACTGAAAGATGCTCTGTAGGTTGTTGTGCACCTTACAGAAACATTGAGTACCATCTTTATTCAGGCCCAAGAGCCTGCTACTGATCAGAGTTCTACCTCAGCCCATGTTCTCCCATCACACGAGGTGGCAGGGGCTGATGGTATAGTCACAGTGCACATTCTGTTCTCGTTAAATGACCTCGCACAGATGCACCTGAGATCTTTCTCCGCCAATCCCACCACCTACATCAAGGAGCTGAGGCATGTATTTCCATCATATGAGGTAACTGGGCGTGATGTATGCGTAAACTTGAGTAATACCCTTTTACCAGGGGAACAGTGGGATGTTTGGGAAAAGGCTCGCCGCTATGCAGATGAGACCCACTGGACCACCCCCGATCACCCAATTTGGACTGAGGCAGTGCCTGACCAGGAGTCTCACTAGGATTACAATTCCCTATTGCCTGTGTAATGGAGGGTCTCAAACAGGCAGTCTGCAAAGCCATCAACTATGACAAAATGGCCACGGTCATACAAAAATGAAAACCCATCTGCCTTTTGGGCCAGATTGTGTCAGACCTTCCTTTAATATACTAACCTAGACCCCGAGTCTGTGGACGGACAATGCTGTTTAATGACTCATTTTATTAGTCAATCCGCTCCAGACATCAGGATAAATTTAAAAAATTAGACAGGGGCCCCCTAACACCCGCTAGTGAGGCTATGGAGGCAGCCTTTAAGCCTTAAAGGCCAAACAGCTGAAGTACCAGATGCTAGCCAAACTCTACCAGCCTCCAGCCTTGCAACCAACCCCTTGCAACCAACCCCTCCCCAGCGGGGTCCACCTGAGCTCTGCTATGTCTTCAGTCAAAAGGGGCACTGGATGGAAACCTGCCCCCTAAAGAAGCTCTGCTACTGATGTGGCCAGCCAGGCCATAGGGGCCCAGCCTGCCCACAGCCACATGAGCCAGTCCAACCATGGCCCAAGTGCAAAGTTTCAGGGCAATGGGCCATGGACTGTCCATCGTCCTCTTGGGGATGGCGGCTATCCACTAAGGCCCCATCGCCCCCTCCTGGCACTCTGGGACTGGCAGCTGGAGAAGACTGAGGTGGCCCTGGACTCCCGGCCCCAACCACTCCCATCACCAAGCAGGAACCCAGGGTGACAATCATGGTTGCAGATAGGATGATCTCACTTTTGGTGGACACAGGTGCTATGTATTCGGTGCTCACTGAGTTCCAGGGCCAGACCTACCTAGCCTACCTACCCTCCATAGTTGGGGTGGAGGGAAAACCTTACAAATCCCCCCAAAAAACCCATCATTTGTCTTTTTTCAGGAGTGACCTTCTGTTACTCCT